TTTGGACAGCTCCAATAGCTTGTTAACAAAACTCTTGGGAGGAATGTAAGTGCATTTATGGTTATGGTTATTAAAAACACAGTAACCATGCTTATATAAATCATGAAGCATAAAATCTTCAAAGATGCAATGGCATCTAAATAATATTCCAATTTGTGATTTCATTACTTGCAAAATGAAAGACTCTCCTGTATTATCCTGCCATCCATTGGTGACTATCATAAGACAATGGGATGTCTTCAAGGAAACATGGTAAAATCTTTGTTAATGTTTATTACTTTGTATTTTCTTCCAACAAATTTGAAGTGGTGGTTGGTTTTTTATGCACTTCAAACATTTGTAAGCATTAACTTATATACTACAGACCTTGTGAATGTAGAGCTCTTCAGGGTGAGTTGTTTCCACATTCCCCCCAGCCTCAGATGCAAGGTCTACAATGACTGAGCCATCCTTCATTGATTCCACCATAGTCTTAGTGATTAGGATTGGAGCTTTCTTTCCTGTGGGAAATTGTAAGACACCAAAGAAAGAAAGAAAGAAAGAAAGATAGAAAAAAAGAAAGCCCCTCAAAACCCACAAACCAAAACCCTAATATATATATATATATATATATATATTAATTCCAAACTAAAGTGGGAGCAAGGAAAACATCTGGCATATTGTGTTTGCCACTGAAAATAAATAAGAAACAACTAATAACATAGGCTGCCTATAGATGTGCTGGTTCACATTCTTATTAGAACGCTCTAGCATCACCTCACCGTCACATGTATTAATCCTACCCCCCCACCCCTGAGCCACATTTTAAAATGATTGTGGGGGAGCTTTAGTTAAAGTACTCCCATGGCCATCTTAAAATGTAGGGGTTTTAATACACATGATGGTGGGCTATTTTAATTAGATCAGCTATGAGGGAACCGCTTTAAGTGAAACAGCCCCTCCCCATCCCTGAGCACATGTATAGACACCCTCTGAGTCTGAACCTAGAATTACTAGATAATTATTAAAACAAGAATAAGCTACTTTAATCCATGGAGTAGACATTGACTATGGCCCAGTCCCGATGCTACTATTCATGTATAACTGCCGTTAGATATGTAGGTATAAGCATACCTTCAAGCTCTGCAATAATCATAAAGCTCTGTCTTACCTGGAATAAGAGCAGTACTAATAACAATATCCACATCTTTACATTGTCTAGCAAACAATGCCAGTTCTGCTTCAATAAATTCTTTAGACATTTCTTTTGCATAACCTCCGACCCCTTCTCCAGTTTCTGCAATGTCCACTTCTAGAGTTTCTGCTCCAAGGGACTTAAACTGCTCCAGTGCTGCAGGCCTACACACCAAGTACAGAGATGACAGATACCAGGATTTTTCATTTCATCATTTTATAAAGACAATGATCACAAAATTATACCAGCTACAAGGTAACATGTTGGCAAGTTCTTTCCAGCAGATAGCAGATTAAGTTAGAAAAAAACAATGAAATACAGGTCCAATTCTGCATAAGCAAAACCCTGCACCAAGGAAGGACACATCTAAACAGTCCCACTGTGGGGTTTATTGTGTGCCTGGCTGACATGACCTCATTAAGAGCAGCTGATGTCTCCTGGAACTATTTGAGTAAATATTGAATTCTGAAATCATTCTACCTACACTGTATATCAGATTTTTTCCTCCTCTTTGGGTTGCTTCCCCCCTTTCTGGGATGTAGGCTGTATCAACAGAAGCATCAAACTGTGCAACAGTTCCTCTCCATATGGAACTGATGTGGTTATACCTGGAATGCTGCATTCTTTTCTGGAAACTGATATGAACAAATTGGAAGGAATCCAGAGAATTAAAACAGAAGTGATTATAGGGGAAAGAGGGGCTGATTTCTTATGGGAAAATTAAAGGCAATAGCTTGACTAAAGGATGTCTTTGTAGCAGATAAATATTTGCAGGTTTCAAATACAGAAGCTCCAGTTCTCTAGTGTGTGCCAGGAAACCCCTGCACATGGGCAGATCTTCCACTGGCTTCCATGGATGCACACTGGCCAGCATACAGAAATCAAAGCTTGGAGAAGAGCAAGGCCCTATAAGTATCAAAATAGGATGAAATGCAGAGAGAAATTTTAAATTGAATATCAGGGGACTGTTCCTAACAATGAGAACATTTACACTGTGGAAGGGTCTCCAAAGGGAAGTAAGAGAACAAATGAATTAAAGTGGCTGGGACCTTGAAATATGACAGGACAAAGAGAAAGAAATGGTCTCTAGTTAACACTCCTATACTGGCAGGAAGATGGGTTGAGTAGCCTAACAGACCATGTCTAAACATTATTCTGCCTTATTTTGCAGGTGGGATTTTCATGAAAAATTAGAACTCAAATTTGCATGTACCTGATTGGCATGGCTGCAATGCCTGGAGTACATGTATAAGGGGGAAATTAGTGCACCAACATATTAAGACTGGCCCAAGTGCAGCAGGTGCTCACAGCATCTTTGGTGCTCTGTGTTCAAAGGGATTTTCACCAATGTAAACAAAACCAGAACTTGGCTCAAAATACGTGATGTAAATGGAAGCCCAACATTCAGGATTTTCTTATCCTACCTGGTGTCAAATCCCCTGACAATGGCTCCCATTGCTCTAGCAGCTCCTGCAGCAGCCAGCCCAGCCACACCACCACCAATTATCAACATCTAGGAAGTTGAAACATATAGAGTGTTAGGAAAGGGCAGTTTGTGTCCATCAACCTCATAGCAAGCTATAGGTATAATGCCCCGACCTTCAAAAGCATTGGTACTTAAAAGAGCATCGGAGGATACAAAATGTAACGCTTCACAGAAGTTTCAAATTGTATCACAACACACCAAACAAGTGGCTTGGGGCAGAAGAATAGGTGGCCTGTCCCAGTAAAGGTGTTTTGATGTTTCAGGCCTTATGTCTAGTAGTTGTGTGAGAGTGTGCCAAAGTCTTTAAAAACAGGCTAAACAAACACTTGTCTAGGATGGTTTAGACAGGGATGATCCTGCCTTGAGCAGAGAGTTGGACTAGGTGATCTCCTGAGGTCCCTGCCAGCCCTATGATTTACTATGATTCTATGATTTACAAAAAAAGATAAGGTAGAATGGTGTCAATTCTTCAGACGATTAAATTATACAAATATGAATGCTGTTTTTTTTCCTGCCCACAGCACACAGACTCTCTCTTTCTCAAACTTTGATAATAAAGACTGTTAGTCCTAATTTGATCAGCTCTTTGAATCTTTATCTCAGCTTTTCTTCAGGTAGTATTTATGGACCAAATTCTGCCCTCAGATATGAATGCACAAATTTCACTGAAATAGGTATTAGAGCACAGAATTTGCTCCATCTATTGGTAGACTTTTCCTTTAAAAAAAAAAAGAGTCCCCATCTGTCTCTGGGTGTGATATGATTCAATGTACTTTTTGACACTTAATACATTATTACAACTGATCAAACATATGCCAAAGCCTCTTTTAAAAATGCAAATTGGAACCAAACTGCAACCAAGTTCTTCTCTCAAGTCATTCCCCTTTGACTTCAGGGGCATAACACATGCATAGATGTGAGCAGAATTTGACCTGTTGTTAGCCAGAAAGACCTGTTCTTGGGGCAGTGGGGAGATCATGGCCTCAGATTGTGCTCTGGGAGGTGCACTACTTCTTAAAGCTTCTGAGTGCACACATGAAGCAGACCAAATACACCTCCTTTTATGACACTGGCATAAGCAATCCACTCAGCAATCCTGTTTCCTCCCAGCTCTTTGAAAAAGACAAATGCTTTAGGTGGTTTTCATGGAGATCATACTGTGTATTCTGGAGAGCCCAGGGATGGCTATTATGCCTAACGTCTTTATGGGGGTACAAACTTAGAGAAGGATTTATAAAGATTTACACCTTTATAAAGAGCAGATACAATCTGGCCCCAATACAAATAAAACTGCAAGTGAAATAGCAACAAATGGCATTGTATCAGGTAACCCCTAGATTTCCCACTTGTATAACAAAACTTCACTCCTTGGATATACTATTAGTTAGGGCACTCAGCACAGAATTTTATTCCATTTAGATCAGCGCTAACATTCATACCTTTGCAGGAGGAACTTTTCCAGCTGCTGTTATCTGACCAGTAAAAAATCTACCAAAATGATTGGCTGCCAGGACTACAGCCTTGTACCTAGAAAAGTCAAATAAGAGAACAGTGTGGTAATGCAGTAACCCTCTGCAGAGATAGCATAAGGATAAATAGGACCCACTCACATGCCTGGATACAGGTGCCTATATACAAAATCACAGCACAAGAGCCAAAATCCTTCAGACAAACACACAAATGAAATCAATGAGATCATTAATAGAAACTCCATAAAACAAACAACAGCTATTGGACATCTTAAACCAATAAATCTGCTAAATGAAAAAATACATCCAGATGTCACACCAATTTATACCAGTGGTTTGTAACACAGTTTTAAAGTGAATGCCTGATGAAAGATGATTGCTGGGAAAGGACTACATTCCAAGGGTGTGGACACAAGGCATAAATAAACTGCTTACTATTATTACAATACTTCTGTGTCTTTTTTACACAATGGGTCGGCTGTACTGTCTGTGCTCACCTAGGTAAGAAAGTCAGTCCATTTGTAGGGACTTGCAGGCAGAGTGTAGGCAAAGTTATACTTGCATTTGTAATGCTTCAAATATTATGTTTATCTACAGCTAAATATATATTATTACTTAAATTATGGTGATCTATACACTGCATTAAGCTATACCCAGTGCAACTGCCTTAACTCTGCTGAGTGTATGATGGCACAGAAGCTGGTCCACTGTCAGTACCATGCAATAGTATAAAGCAATTGATCAGTAAGTAAAATCCTGGTCCACTGAAAAGAACTGTAGCATTCCCATTGACTTCAATGGGTGTGTCTAGACGAGTCTGCACGTGCCTCTTGCAGCATCTCAAACCCCTTTGAGACGCTGCAAGAGGCATGTGCGGGAATGGCAAAAGGTTCTCCCCACTGCAAGTTTGCAGTGAGAGGGCAAAATTAGACCAAAAAAGGTAAAAAACTGTTGGTCAAAAAAAATGAAGCAAAAAAAAGCAGAGCAGCCAGAGGCTGGGTCCTCCACAGAGATGCTCTGGTAGGAGCCAGAGCATCTCTGTGGTTGGCCCTCACCCTGGTGCTGAAGCATGCTGCCTGCCCATGCAGGGCAGGCAGCATGCCAGTTACCAGGAGCTGGACCCAGGCTCCACTGCAGGTAAGTAGGGGAGGCGAGAGGGGACCTTGAGGGGGGGCCCTCCACTGGCTCCGCCCACTGCCCCAGCCCCCCAGATCCCTGCCCCACCTGGCCTCATCCCCTGCCTACCCCCAAACCCCCACCCCAGCATCCCTACAATTAAAAACAAAACAAAACAAAAAAAAACCCTGGCACTCACCAGCAGTTCCAGCTGCCGTCTGGGTCACTGGGCAGGAGCTGGTGGAGGATGGATCCAGGCAGGGCGGCAATCCTAGGGGCTGGGGGAGCAAGCGGAGGTGGGGCACATGGGCCCTGCAGGGGGGTGGTAGCCTCTGCGGGGGCCATTTGGCTCCTGTTGGGGGACTGTAGCCCCTGTGGGGAGCTGTAGCCTCTGATGGGGGCCTGCAGCCCCTGGGGGGGGGGGCGGGGGGCCCCAGCAAAACATATACGTGTTTAGAATTCACTTTATTATGATGATAGAGACACTGGTAGGTTTCCAAATTGCTTTAACGCTGTATATTTATCAATAAAACATTGCCCAACTGATCGCTGTCTCTCTGTCTCTCACTCTCTCTTTCTCTCTGTATAGCTGTCTTTTTTTTCAGTTGTGGAGGAACATGGATTTTGGGGTATT